TATTCGTATAACATAAGTGTTTCTACTCTAAAAAATCGGTGTTCTCTCCCTCTACTCGAAAACCGCCGTAAAATTGCTCTTCTGTGCCTCATCCATAAGCTCTACTATCACGATAATAATATACCTTTTCTTGAGCCTCCTAACAGATCTTCCCTTTGAACCACTAATAGCAAAAGTTTCAAGCACCTAACCGGTAAAACTAATGCGTTTATTAACTCCGCTGTCCCGCGAGGCATCCGCGATTGGAACGACCTTCCCAACACCATAGTCGACATTAGTGACACCGGCCTGTTCCGTGAGGCGATTTCTACATTGTTTTCATAGTTGGCTACCTTATTTTTATATTTTATTATATATTTCTTATTTTGTTTATTCCTTTAATATTATTATTATTTTTTTTTTTTGTTTGTCGAGTGCTTACATAGACAATATGTTGGTGATTTTTGACCTCATTTGTTTCTGTGTGGATTTTCCCTGCTATTTTTATAGCGTGTACAAATGTATAATTGATGTGTTTTTTTGTTTGTTTTTTTCGCTTCGTGCAATGTTCTGTATTTTTGATTTTATATTCCTTGCCCCCCCTTATGTAATGCCCATTGGGCCTTTAAGGGTTGAATAGATGAATAAATGAATGAATGGTGGTAGTATGAAAGAATAAAATGAGCAGAATGATTTTGAATTGACTCAAGCAGATGCTAGGGTGAGTCCAGGGTCCCAAGTAGAGGCTGCACATTTAGGTTTAGTGCAGATTAGGGGTTTTACAAAATTAGCTTTAAAGAAACAAGAGCGAGCGAAAAATTTCTTTTGAGATAACCTAGTAAGCACGATTAGCGTTGTTAGTGACATATTCAACATGGGCATTACAGGAAAGGTCATTAACAATATGAACACCAAGGTATTTATAGAAAGAAACGAAGGAGGGTGGAATGGTTAATTTAGTAGGGGGACAAACATTATTTTGACGAGACACTCTCATAGACATAAATTCTGAAATGTTAAGTTCCATAAGCCATCCTGTGCACCAGTGGGTTACATTCTTAATATCAGTTTGAAGGCCAGACATGTCGGAATCATTAATATTTTTTTTTTTATAAATAACAGTTGCCAGCATACAAGCTAATAGAAGAAGAGATACAGATAGGTAGGTCAATAATATATATAAGAAATAGTGGACCGAGTACGGAACCTTGTGGGACACCGGAGTTAACACGAGAGGATGAAGAACTAGTTCCATTAATGTGAACAAAGTTCACAGCGGTTTGTTAAAAACTATTCTATTCAAGCGAGTACATTAATGTCTATGTTTAGGTTATGAAGTTTATGTAAACAAAGTATATGAGGAACCTCGTCAAAAGTTTTTAAGAAGACAAGGAATATGCAGTCAGTCGTGTAACCTTGGTTGAGAGTGACCTGAAGGTCATGAGTAAATGTTAGAAGTTAACTTTCGCAACCTGCAGAAGCCATGCTGGGCTAAATTTAAAAAATGAATTTGAGTCCAAAAGTTCCTTTTTCTCTAATAAGAAGTTTTTCAAAGCGCAGCTTGAAGGGTACACCTCGAGGTTTTGCAAATTGTAGCAGTTCCTGCCGAGCAAGGCACACCCAGGAAGGCTCAAGAGAAAAATGTGTTCCCTTAATCTTGTAGGCCTTTGAAAGCACTGACTCCTTATCTTCAAAGAAAGAGAATTTCAGAATAATTAGGCGATTCTTTTGCTGATTGTACCTGCCAACACGGTCTGGACTTTCTATGAATGACTCGAAAAGTTGAATTCCTAATCTCTCCAGCTTTTTTCAATTGCGCCCAAGTTTCCTTGAAAGCCAAGAAAGAGGAGATTAGACCTGCGTGCTCCGCCCTCTGCGTCGTCACAGCGTGCTTTGAGCATCGATATCTCAGTAACAGTGGATGCTATCTGGGGATCCGATACCACACTTTTGGTGACGGCTGCCGTTTCATAGTTGAAAGTTTCCCAAATGATTAGCTCATGTTATTAGAGTATTCATCGATGCCTCAGTGGCACCCTGTTTCACTCTCGAGTCCCAAACTTCCTGAAGGATATCATTTTGGCCTGTCTGCAAAGTGAATGATATTTAAAACCTGATTAAGTAGTAGTTCTTGTTCCTTGGTCATGGGACCAGGGTTAGTTTTGATATCCCCTCTGAGGAGCAAGAGGATACCGCATCTAGCACTTCGGAAATATGTAGCAAAAGATGCACAAGCAGTGCTTTGCAGTTCTAGGCATTCGGGGCACATCGCATAACATGCCATGGTGCCAGGCAGCAAGAAAAGACGCATGTTACTTTTGAATCCAAAATTTTTGAAAATACTAACCTGTAAAGATACAACGAAAAACTTGTAGTAGCCGAGACATTGAGACACCTTAGCAGAGATAGGCTCGATGTGAGTGCTCCAGATGAGATTGTTTGTTGGAGTTACACGAGGTATTTCTCTTGGACTAAGTTATATTCTTATTTGTACAAGGACTGAGACACTTGATGTTTCTGTGAGAACTGGGCTAAATTACATTTTGATTTCTTTAATGTCATGAATCCCCCACAGTACATCATGCCCGGACTTCTTCCACGTCATTTTGGAGTTAAAGATTGTCTTGCAATGAAACTATTTTACAGTATGACATGCAGTCATCAGTGAAGAGGCAGATATTTGAGGGAACCTTTACTGGGTCGACATTAATGAAAATATGAAAGAGTATAGAAGGCCAAGAACTGACTCTTGGGGGGGACTTCTAAAGTAACATCTGCGTGGGTGGAGGAGTAATTGTTAACTGTAGCGAACCGAGCGCAAGGGGAAAGAGAACCATGGTTCCAGGAGAGTATGAGAGAGTCAATTTTGTGGTATTGAAGTTTAGCAAGCAGGCGACCGTGGGGAACACGATCGAAGACCTTTAAAAAGCCCAAAAATAATGCGTCGGTTTGGTGGTTGGATTTAAAATTAATGTATAACTCGTAGGTGAATTCTACAAGCTGAATCTCACAAGACAGTTCCCTACAAAAACCATGTCGCTGGTTGTAAAAGAAATTATTTCTGTCAAAGTGTGATACAGTGTTTGAGTAAATATGCTCGAGAAGTCTTGAGGCTATGCATGTTAGTGAGATAGGGTGGTAATTCGAGGCTAAAAAGCAATCACCATTTTTGAAGACCGGAATGACCTTACCCAGTTGCCAGTCGGATGTTAGGCATCCCTGCGATAAGGACTGTGAAAATATTAGGCAAAGAAATTCGCTAGAAATTCTTTTGGTATAGAGGAGAATTCCGGGGGTGATGTTATCAGGACCTGATGACATCACCCTCAAAATTCTCCACTACACCAAAGAAATTTCTACTGAAAAAGGATGTCAGTTTCAAGTAATCAAGGAGCCTCACTATTCCAGCTCTTGAGATGACAAGCGATTCCATAGATTTGCATAATAATGCTGGTTGTATAGAGATTTCTGCGTCTTCTACTGTAAACACTAACGAAAAAGAGTTGTTTAACACTGGCTCAGTCCGTTTCAGATATTGGGCATCCACCTTTATCAGTTAGCTGGATTAAGAGCTGGGTGGAGGAGGAGTAGGAGAGTTTATCTTCCAGAAGTTTTTGGAATTGTTATGCAGGATGCTTGAAAGGTCCTCAGAAAAGAACTTACGTTTAGCCAGACGAAGGTTTTGAGTGTAGGTCTTAAGACACGAGAAGTAGTCGTGCCAGACAGCATCGCTGTTTAGCGAAATAATATTAAATTTGAAAATATATATGAAATCATGGACACCGTGATTTTACAACTTCGATTATTGAGTAATGTCGCCGCTCAACAGAGCCAGACAGGAGTAATCGGCAGCCTTGAAGCACTGGGGTCCTTATAGTGAGATGCTTATTTACTTCAACAAAAATTGTTCAGCAATGCTTTACCGAGGTCACGAGTGTCTATCGTCTGCCTAATGTCTAGAGGAATAGTACCCATCCATAGAATTAAAAAGTGAGACAGTGCATAAGCGTGATAATCTTTATTAGCCACAATTACAATCTATGGCACAATTGTTCTACTTTCCTATTCTGGATTTAAAGGGAAACTGAAACGAAGTTATAGCTCCTGTTTTATTGTCCAAATGTCAACTATTATGATGATTTTAAACCCAAGACTGGGGCAGGACCAGAAAACATTTTTTACAGTGGTAGAAAAAGGAACAGAGATAGACACAACATACAACTAGTATGTTGTGGCAGCATCACAGAGACACTAGTTTTTCGTTCAAGACAACACCAATACTTTATTGAAAACAAATAACACAGTGACCAAAGTGCAGGTTCCCAAAGGTACTTGGAATGTTACATTGATTGTCCCCTAAAAGTAGTGAACTCCGGCAGCGCGTAGCCTGTCGAGCTTGGCCAAACCACATTTCCCTTCTCTCCCACAATTCGAGTCCTGTAGCCGGGGAATAGTGGAATAGAAAGGAAAGGGGTGAGATGAAGGGGGAAAGAAAGTTTGTGTAGTTTTGAGGTGCAGGTGACTCACTTTGCCTCCGCTCGTGTTTACCCGTTTTGCCCAACCAGTCCTTCGAGCAGCTCGAATGGCATGGTTGTAACGCATTGGCACCACCGAATGGTGAAGCTCATATCTATGTCAGGCCCACCGTGGCCTTGCCCGGGAAGGGACATGTGATGTCGCAAATGCGTCGGAAACACCAAATCTTCCGACACGCATCCCGCTGTCTGACGGCTGCTCTTGGAGCACTTGCTAAAATCGGCCATTTACAACAAAAAATATAGTCATCTGCTCTAAAGGTATGCGCATGCAATTCTCATCCGCAGTTACTACTGATCGTGTTTAATCCTTTCCTAACATGAGAGGTATATTTCAACTTTCATTTCAGTATCGCTTTAACTCAAGTTGTGGCCAAAGGTTGTTTGCAACCTTTCATTGTTGCTTTCCTTTGCAGTTCCAAGGCGACCAAAATGCTAGCATTTTAAATCTTGGAACGAGATTAAACACTTTCAATCCTATTGCAGGTCCGAATATGGGGCATTTTGGAAATGCGTCCAAGCTGCTGCCATGTACATTGTTATGCAGCTTTGCAAAATGCTGATTCTAGCCACATTCTTCCCACCCGGCGATGTGTCATCTGTGGGTGGATTCGACGTCTTGGGGGTGAGTGAGCCCTGGAATGAGCTAACCTTATTACACTTCATTTTATCTTACAATGGGCCGCAGCAGATGCTACGAGTCGTCCCATTCAATCCAGCGCTGCGAATGTATTAGGTCGCTACAGTCGTCACACGTTGCTGCGCCCCTTCTTAAGGTCACAGCACTCGCACGGCATTGGAATTGACTCCGATTACTCGTAGTGTCCGCCATGGTAGCTTATTCTGACCTCTTTGTGTCTTTGATGCTTCAAGCATTACTAGTGCCAACTTTGGAGAGTTGTTTCAATCATTAACTGATGTTTTAATCATCTTTATTTAGAGACTATCAGTGTATAGAAAGTGTAAACAAAGTTTTAAAATATATTGGGCCACAGCTTAAAGGGAAGCTGAAAATGTTCCTAAAAAAACGAGTTAGAGGTTAATTCTAGAGTATTTTTATCCCGTGATTCTTAATATCATGTTCGTTTTTCCCGAAGATGTAACTAAACGCAAGAAAACATGAAAAACCTCCAATTAGTCGTTACGACATAAAAGGATCTTTCTGCTGCGAAGCGCGTGTCGCTCATCTGGGCAGCGCGTGCAATTCCAAGCTCGCCAGGTATATTCCCCCACACTGACAGCAGTCTTGACGTCATTTCTTGACCTTTTTGAAAATAGCAAGAGTGGACGTGCGTAGCTTTGATAGGCACTGAAGATGCGCGAAAGTGAAGATTCCGAAAACTCCTTTTATGACGTAACGCTCTGAGAAGGAGGGGCTTCAGCTGTACTTTGAAAATTATTTTCTGCCGCCTCCATGCACCAAGTTGAAAGATAATCTCAATATTCCTAATCTTGGAGGCCAAATGAAGACACTTCAAGTGTTTTTACTCAAATACAGAACCGCTTCAGTTTTCCTTTTAACTCAGACTTTACACTTATTTTATATATTTGGGGATGTAATATCAAGAACTGGATTTGACTGGGCATACTTTTTAGGGAAGACTCAGTTTCTTCCATTCCATCCCAGCCTTTCCAGTAGATGTAAATGATTCATCTATAGAAATAGAGAGAAAGCTTTGTTCACTCAGAAATAATGTCTTTTCTAATTTTTAGGCAGTTGAAAACAGGCAGATTCTGCTTCATGTTCACATAAACAACACTGATATTAATTTAATATGTTGTGTGTGCTTGTGAATGTGAAAGCACCCAGACTACCTTTTATAAATGTTTCCCTATGGGCTATTTGGTAAACGTTGGTTCTAGATTTGATTCATCAGGCCAGATGTTGAAATGGCCTTTACCAAATTGTTTTCTAAAATACTTCTATCCTTTTTTATTTTTTTCTTGGGGTAAGTTAGTCTCTTAAAACAATTGGTGATGGATCAGCTTGAACTTAGAAACCAACGTAGATTGGACAGGGTAAGACAAAACAGCTGGCTAACGACTTTGTTTTAGTACACTTCTTAGTATGCACAAGTATTTTCTTCAGAGGCAGTTCACATATGCACAAAATAAAAATTAATTACAAAATTCTAAAGATTAATTACTCGAGGGAATTACTAAATTTACCATTACCTGCTAAAATTCATCCTACCAGCTATCTGGGTGTGGCACACCGCAAATACTGTTTTTCTTTGGGGTGGAGAGTGATTGACGAGGTGCTAACACATTCCTTTGCATGTTCTTCGATAGCCAGTGCCTTGAGCATCTCAAGTGCGGCCGTCACCAATATGTACCAACTAAGTAACCAAGTAGCTTCAAACAAAAGTGTAAAACATGATGGGCCCCACCATACACACAGTTCAAACATTCAGCCAACTTGTCTAGTAAACTATTTTTGTTCATCAGTCAAACTGTCAGATAGGCAGAAATGTGCCCCCCCCACCCAAGTGGGCATCTGCTGGGTATTGTATTCTTGTATGTTGAAAAATAGATCCTTGAAATCACTTCCATATGCCCCAAGCTTCACATGACAGTCTAATTCCTACCCCTTCTATTAATCCCCCCCCCCCCCCCCCCCATGGGGTATCTTAGTTAAGGTATTTCATAGAGACTCGCACAAGTTGTATGTTTGCATCTGGTTTCTATTGGAAGAGTTTTCGCTTTTGATACCATGTTCTATATTCCCTTTTTTACTGCTGCCGTCGCCTGCAAGCAGTTACCCTTTCGTATGGATGTGGTGAGCACTTTTAAGACGAAGATCGAAGCATGCTATCATCTGTAGTTCCTCTTGATCCTGCTGTTTCTTCCAAAGGCAGAGTTTATAATGGCCTTGATTAGCCACATTTTTCATGTTTTGTACTCAAACGCTTTGAGCATGTTGTAGTTAGTAGTGACCTGTAGGCCTTGGGACTGATACAAGGTGTTGGTTTGTCAATGTTACATATTAACTTGTGCATGAGGCATGGCTGTTCTGTGAAGTTGGACAATGCGATCACTCTCTCAGTACGGCATTGCATAATGTGAATCTTTAATATTGAAGTGGTACACCGTAAACCTTTGTACTCTTGTGGCTCCCATTTTTTGCAAATTGGGCAAGAGGATCAAATTTTTGCCCCTTCAATTTTGCAAATTTCTGTCTAGAATTTGCCTCTAGTCAGTGCAAATATTTCCATGCCCTGATAATTGCTAATTTTGCAGTTCAGGAAATTACGAAAAATTGGGGCTTCCTAAGGGTTTTCAGTTTGCAAGCTACAATAACAAAATTTGAAGAACCACAGGGTGCCATGAATGTCGCTGGTGTCCTGCATTTGGGCCACTTTTACGTTTGAGGCATATGTTAATTGACTGTTTGAATTTACAATGTAACTTAACCCTTGAGTTTATATTTTTGTGTTTGACCCAGTAACAGTGTCATTTGGAATAGTCCTAAAATAACTGTTGCCTAGAAACAAGCACATGCATACTATAACACACCAGTCAAGTGCCCACTAAAAATTTTGATATAATCGCGAAAAAATGGAGTACGGGTGCTCGTCCGGTAATCAATATTACATATAAATGTACTGTGCATATTTTTCAGATCTTACAAATTCGGGAATGGGTGCTTAGCGTGGAATGGAAGGATGTGTGGTATTCTACGGTAGTGCACTGTATGCAGACAGATTTTGTGTTTCATGACTCAGGTGGAGTAGGTGTAAAATAACTTACCTAGAAACAAGCCCATACATGTCACACTACACACAAGCAGTTTTTATGGGTTTCCCGACTCTGGGTGCAGTTAAATGAAAACACAAAAGTGTAAGGTTCCACACTACGAGATTGCAGCTAATACATGCAAAGTCTTTGCCATGCAATTCAATGTTTTAGTGGGCATGTTGGCTCAGCTTCTCTCATTGTTACAGTAGACGAGCTACAATAAACAAGTTCTGTCTTTTGTAAGGCAGGCATCTTTACAATCAGCTATTCATTCATTGCAATTGGGTGTCTACAATTGATAATTGCTGATATCAATCAATTCAGCAAAAATATGAAGTAAGGGCATTCCAGAGCCAACAATGCCTAAGGCCAGGCGTGCCATACTATACAAACTTTTACCAGTAGTTGATTGCAAAAACAACTTCTTAGATATATCAGCCGAGGAAAATAGTAGAAACCTTAAAGCCATCTGTAACTAAGGTTGCTGCCATTTCATAAATGCTCATAAAAACATGACCGCTATTTTTTTCTTTTGCAGGGATCAATAAAATATGTTTGGGAAAGAAATTAAAACATTAGATTTCTAACCTTATCAGGATTTTTTAAATTCACATGGGTGATTTTTCCGGTTCTAAGGCACTCTGATATGCTGTCTTTTACTGTATAAAGATCATTTTGAGCAAAATAATAAAAAAAATTGTGGACTAGCATGCCAGCCTAGCATCACCAACATTCTACTTGTAACAAAAACCTCATTTACTAGTTTTATTAAGATTTGTAGATGCACACCACCCAGCCAGAAACGCCCATAGTCTCGGTTCAGGAAAGCTTCTAACCGGTCCCTCCTCAGCTCGGAACCACTCTCATCGTATATCCTTTTTTCGCAGCCTGTAACATAGCCCCTAGCATGGGCAACGTCTGCAACTTCCTTTAGCAACAAGGTGGTAAATCAAAACAGATGCGGTGTTGTCGTCTTCTTGGTACAGGAGTTTCTGAAGGCCACGGTGGATCTGGCTGACCTCGTGGGTATTCACGTTGTGATGACCAAGGTGGCTGGCAAAGGGGAGACCAAGTTCCTGGTGGCAGGGCTGGGGTGGGCGAGTGCCGAGCTGTTGATGACACGCTTCGTGCCCCTCTGGGTGGGTGCCCGTGGCATGGAGTTTGACTGGCGCTACGTCCAGCTCAGCTTTGACTCAAACATCTCTCTCGTGAGTGCCGCCTCCATTTCGAGTTCGCGGAAGACACCCTGTTTTGTTTCACCTTACGAGCCACCCCGGCCAGTCCAGCTCTACGAGCTAGCTTGCAGCTACCCTCTTTTTGCGTTCCCGCGCCCCCTCTCCGAGGTCGCATGACACTCACGCGGCATCTGATTGGCTCCGGTGGCTCGTAGCAACCACCACGGTGGTTGCAAAGTCATATGGAGTGTAGTGCTGTGCTTTGTTTCGCCGTAACTTGGCAAAGAGCTAATACCATCGCCTCCTCGAGCCAGTTGGCACGTTGGAGAGAGACACGTGACTACACTCTATCTGCTCAGTGCTGTTGAAGCCACAGGCAGGAGATAACAAAGCTTCTTTGATGGGAATTTTAGTGACAGTCTAATCCTCTAGGGGTATATTAGGCACGTCTGCAATGTGCAGAAAAGGGTCCTTGTAAGAGGGGAGTCCTTCCTTCTCCTCGTTTCCAACTGTTTGGGGGCTCGAGTTACGCTGTCGGCCTCGGACCTTTGGCAAGGGTTGTTGGGTGCTTTGCCTCCGTCACTCCGATTGACTTGAGGGGGCCATAGAGTTTGATCTTTGCCAGGTTACGGTGAAACGAAGGATGGTAGGGGCTCTTTTTCTGCGATAAACATTTGAAAATCTAAGGACAGCAATGCTGGAGGTAGAAAGCAAACGAGAGAGGATCGGGGTGTCTGGTTTAATAACTAGATGTAAGCATAGATACGGGTTTGAATTACTCGGGTCTTTCCTTTCTTTGATGTTTTTTTTTTCTAGTTCAGCTTGCTTCTTCGTGAATAAAAGCCACCCCGTGAAAATCTACTTTGATTGTCGAACGGACGAATTCGTAATTGCAGCCTGAATAGCATTGTTTGTTTCTAAACAGCATACAAATTGTTTGCTCCTACTGTATCCCTTTAACAGACCCTCGCATCTATAGTTTTCATTTGTTTTGAAATATAAGTGACAGAATTGCAAGATAAGGTGGTGCCCCCATCTCATTCTCCTTCTTCAGTGCACATTCTTTGAAATTGCTTTGTGAGGTGTTTTTATTTATCACACAGCAGTGTCATTGTCTTAAGGATTGAAACACTCGCCTAAAAAACCAGTGATAGCAATGATGTGAGTGCTTCGCCATTCGCACCAATGTGCTTGCCTCGCTACATCCTGCTACGTTTAACCAAAATATGAAGAAATTATGCCAACATTGTGCTAAAAGATAATTTTGCTTTTTGCCAGATTGTTATGCTAAGCGTGCACGAATTTTCAGAACTTTCGGGTATAGCTTAGTGTAAAGTGTGATTGGATATGATTGGTATCGAACATGACTCGGTAGTCAGAAGTTTGGGAACATATTTTGGGCCTGTTTGGGCTGTTTAATTAGGTCCGAGTGTGCTTGTCGCTGTGCACTGGTGCACTGCTGAGAAGTGACGCCCACAGACTAGACATTGTGATTTCGTGCAAGTCGCTTAGCCACACCGCAACATTATGTTAAAGGGTAATAATCTCCTCCAAGGTGATATAATGCATAACTGCACATCATCTGCTTGGGAAAAAATATAAAGAAAAAGGAAAACTTAGTGAATGTATGTTTATAACTAATCAAACTTGGTGAATGCTGATTGACAACATACATGTGGTAATAAAATAAATAAAATAAAACTGTGGTCATTTTGTATGATAGGCTTTGACATTCTGAGAAGTTGCATAAATCATTGGTCGTGGGCGTTCTGTTTTTGTTTTACGTCTAGTTTTAAGGGAGGATATACTTCATACTTGGGTTTTGGGAAAGGGTTGATGAATCACGTCGATTTGGAGTAGCTGAGCTGGGCCATAGGTTTAGTTCTTATGTTTAGTTAGCATCTCTTGCCTGTTCATGGAGGTTGTCAATAAGGTTTAACTGTTTGTGGATGCAGTCAATGACAGTTAAATTTAAAATAAGGTTAACTTTAGCAGTGGAATGAAAGCTTGGAAATAATATCAGTAAGTTCAGCTGAATTTTTTAAGGTATGTTTTTTCTTCACATGCTGACTTTGCACCATTTTAAATATCTACATGTAAGATGTCATTGATACACAGCTTTCCAATTAAACACTTTAGCTGGGGAGTGCGTCTTTAGATGCACGGAAATTTTGACTCAGCTTAGGGGGCGCACCTTTAGACTCGCCGCTCTTCAGTTCACCTTGGGGAGCGCATCCTTAAATGCTCATTCTTTTTATCGCATGGGAGGAAGCACCATCTATCCCCAAACATCGTAAATAATTTTGCTTTAGAAACCAATGCATAGATTTCAGCACAATAAAAAGGTTGATGAGATTTGTATGGTACCAAAGAATATTGGCAAAATGGGGACAAAAAAAAGTCCCGATTTTGACAATATTTTTTTGTTTGTTATGAAAGTCCCCTGTTAGGGGGCTAATAAAGCTGTGCAATTGATGCTAAGAGGTGGTTACACAGAAGTGGGAAGGCAAAGATGTGCTGTATTTTTTTTTTTTTGAGACGTACCAGCTTAATAGTTTTAAAATAGTTATTGCTGTAGAATGAATAAGAATAAATAATATGTTTGTGCTCCAAAAGTTTTTTTTTTTGCTGCTCCAATATGAACTTTTGCCTGCTCCAAAAGGCCCCCAAAATGACTTAAACCAATCATATCACCGTGATAGGTTTATGAATCTTTAATTAATTGCAGCTTGCTCTGGTCAGTACTGCAGGTATTTTTTACTGAAAAAGAGTTTGGTACAGTGGGTACATCCTATGTTACAAATTCTCAAAAGTATGGTGCAAGTAACTGAGATAAACTACCTGAATGTCAACATTATGACTGGTGTTCTTCTCGCCTGTCACGATGCACTCAAATGGGCAGTATCGGTACATTTGTCTGAAATATGTTTTGAGCATGTGGTCATTTCTACATCAGATTGAAGCCACTTTAGTCGTCAGCCTTGGCATGCAACGCTTTTGGAAATAATGTGCACCCGAAGTGCAAAAAATAATAACCAAGCTTAATTTTTCTTAGCATAAATGCTTGCTAAATATTTTGTTATTTATACGAGTTTGCAGTGTAGCTTTGTACAACAGGATGAATGCTCTCCAGTCTGATGCACAAAACTCCGAGACTATGAATGAATCCGTTTGAAACATATGAAGTTAGGTCACTATTCTAGAACTTCCAAAAACCAGTTTTTAGAGCTGAATATTTTTTTAACTTTTAATGTTGTGCTTTATTGCTACCTGAAATTATCTGTCACGTCCAAAGTGCCTGAAGTAATCCTTGCCTTTCCAGGTGAACCACATCACAACCGCAACTCTTGTCTGGTTGTGGAACCGGAATGATCTCCGCAAAGTTCACCTACCGGTGGTCACGGTACTACTGGCAATCACATGCTACCGTTCCCTGATTTTAGAGTAAGGACCAATCATTGTCTACTGGGTGAATCTAGTATTGTTTCAGAGACTTTGCCAATTCAATCCCTTTCTGAGAGATCTCATTGATTGGCCTTACTTATGCCTTCTGAAAATGTGTGTTTCAGCAAGCTATAAACATTAGCCAGGTTGCACAGCATTCTAGTAACAGGCACATGTATTGGTGGCAATAATCTGTCGCAACTTCAAACATCTGTGTTTTTGATAAGCATATTGGGTAGGAATGAGCCAAATTACAGACATCTAGCATCAGACATTTGTTTCTTTGTCAATATTGGTGTCCAGAGGGCCCCAGAGTGCAGCAGATGGCTCATTTTCACACTCAAAAAATTAGTGACAATGCCGCTAAACATGGAAAGGTACATCTTTACTCTATGCCAGCGCATTCCTCCTAGGTTCATGTTTTTTTGTTTTTTTTTACTATTAGTAGAGGTGACGTGAAAAGCCCAACAAACTGCTTGATAATGTTCTTACAATTCGAGTGCCTCAGAACATCGAAGAAGAGCCCCTAATAGAGGGCATAGATTTAAGAGAGGGAGTTACTTAAACCATGGAGATTGTGTGCAATTTAATGAATGGCAGACACCGCCCATGCAAATCGGCTGCCCACGCGCATGCGTGGGTTGCCGCATGGCGAGGAGGGTGTCATGCAAAGAGGCTGAGCCAAGCCTGGGGACGCTCGCAGATGATTGGCACCTTTACCTTGTACCATGTGACCTTGTGTGACCCTGACTGAGGAGCTATGTGAACTATGTGATCCTAACTGAGGAGTTGGACACACTAAAATCTAGGCATACTAGCTTCCAAATGTCTGTTGAATGCCCACTGAAGCACTTACAAAGACTCCAGAAAAGTGCCCAATATGAGCCGACTGTGACAGAATTGAACAAAATTACTCTGCCCCTAGAATATTTTGTTTGAAGCAAGAACTTAGTAGGGAACGTATGCATGGCCAAACCTCGGTCAACGAAGCTAGATCCTGTTGGTTCCATTGAACTGCATTGACCAGGGTATAGCTTCCCAAAATGTCACTTTTGTGCTCATTCTGGATTATCTTGCAGCACAAAGCCCGTATAAAGACAAAAAGGCAAACAGCGCACAGTAAACGGGGACTAAAGGAAGTGCAAACAGGACAGCGCTTGTCCTGTTAGCACTTCCTTTAGTCCCCGTTTACTGTGCAATGTTTGCCTTTTCGTCAGGATGAACCTACTAACCCACATCGCCACCCTTACCCATATAAAGGCTCCCCCTGTCCTCTCCTTTTGACTGATATAGAGGGAGAGGAAAAAACTCAATACTTTTAGACTTTTCTATGATCCAGGCATCACACTTACATTGAAAATGGTCAGTTAGAAAGTAAAGGGGCCTGACAAGTTGGTGTATTTCAGTGCTTCATATACTATATAAAAAAAGGGGGGGGGGGGGAAGATTTTTTTTTCCATTATTCCTTTTATCCTGGCTTTAACCTGGTTCGAAGTAGTTAGGATCAAATTCTACTGCATCACTCATCATCTTCCCAGTGAAAGGATAGACCATATCAATCAGGTTTTTTGTGCACTTTAAAAACTATGAATGGTGCAGCACAATCTGATTTTAACAACTTTGTAACTGTATTTGGCATCATCTCTTGGTACATAAGTGAAGTGGGTCAAATTTGCATTAAACTGAAAGATTTGGATGATTTCTGCCTTGCCAATCTTTTCTTTTACATTTTCTTAATGTGTTTAATGTGTTTTGTTCAAAGAAAATGACACCATACCATAAGAAAAAAAATGAATTGGGAAAAGGAATATAATTGTGAAACACAGCAGTAGGAAGTATAGACCTTTTCATTTTAGTAGTTGCCTCACCAGCAGATAGATGGTGCTGACAGAATCGGCGCCACTAGGTTGCTTCAATTTGGTTGGTTTCGGTTTCAACGTGCACGCGGCTATGTTGTTGTCTTACGTGGTTTTTGCTTAATTTTGTGATACAATTATATTTCTTGTTGCACACAACCAAGGATACAGTGTATTGAGTCACTTTGAAGACTACGAGGTGTTTTTGAGCCTAATTTGCAGGCTTTTTTTTATCGACTCCTTTGATGTATCTGATTATGGTCGGTTGCGAAACGCCCGACTGATGTACAGGGAAGATTACCATTGTCTACAGCAGTACCCGATGACACCTATTTCCAAATAAACAAACTAATGAAGAGACTATAGTACGGGAATGTAAAGAAGCATATCGACAGCTTGATTAGCAATGTGCTAAATCGGGCAGAACAAATGAACTCACGGGTTTGCAACTCACTGTTTGGTTTTCGTGGAAGCCCGACCTTTAGTGAACTTCGCAGACTTTAAGAAGTATTGTCTAATGACACAGATAATTTATATAAACAAGTATATAGTATCTTCGCCAACTCTTTTACTTAAGTTTTTTTTTTCTGTACTTTAGCATGTTTTGACACTGCGACCTAGGCCAATTAGGAAATTTCTTAAATCATTAACCCTGCTAAACTACTCCTAAGCCGCATTTCGCGATATTGGCCCTAGGAAATAAATTATTTTTATATGAACATTTGCTTACTCAAGATAGGATATAAGTGACAGGCCTGTCAACTTAAATCTAGCATTTGTCTTCCGTAATATTGGCCAAATAAAATTAAAGGGCACAGGAGAAATACCTCGGAAAGTTTGGCTGAATTCTAGAGCTAGGCACTATTTCACGGACCTGTGTGAACAAATAATTATTTGTTTGAACAGATTCGCGTTGTAAATTTCGGCGTCGCCAGCCACCAAAAGTAAACTTCTATTCGCCATCGACAATCCTGGACTCGGGTGATCGTTATGCAGACAGCTTTTTTCGGCGTCAAATATTTCGGGCCCCAGATACTGGCAAAAACTACAACAATGTATGCAAAAAAAAAAATAAAAAAAAGGTTGTTATTAGTGCGCTTGCGTTGAACCCAAACCGTGTTTTGGATTTGCTAATAGAAACAACGTTATTTCTTCATGTACGCTATTCTAAAACTCGTTACTGTTAAGTTGTCTGGCAGTTTCTTACGCGGGAAGTCCCAACCTTTGTGATAAAATAGATTACGTGGATTGAACTGGTTATCTAAAGATAATCAATAAATCACTTAAATGACTGTTGAAATGGGAGCGAGCGCGGTATACAATATTTTAAAACTTTATAGTTATACCGACCAACTGAATGATTACGTGGCAAAAAAAGATTGAGAACCTTATACACATGTAGGTATGACGTTATGAACAAGCAAATCGCCTGATGTTGACGTACCATTATTCCTAGCCTCAGAAAAAATACAAGTTTAACGTTCGTTGTCTATCTCCTCCGCGAGTTTCCTCACATAATCAACAGAAACTGTTTTTGATGTATTATGAATACAGGGTGTCACAAAAGAAAATTTACACGGTTTTTTTTACCGCAAAAATAAACTAGGCATTGCCGAACGCTCATTTTCCGCCCAAAGGTAGAGCTAGAGGTCACAACCAGATGCCGAAGTTTCAGCCCGATCTGATAACTTAATCAAAAGTTATAAGTGATTTTCTGAAAATTCCAATGGGAAAATGGACTCCATTTTCGCTCGTTTTCGGTTTCTGGTGCCATAGAGCCCCATGTGTTTGAAAACTCCGTCGGCCGCCATTTTCCCATTGAAATTTTCAGAAAATCATTTATAACTTTTGATTAAGTTATCGGATCGGGTTGAAACTTTGGCATCTGGTTGTGACCTCCAGCTCTACATTTGGGCGGAGAATGAGAGTTCGGCGATGCCTAGTTTATTTTTGCGGTAAAAAAGACCGTGTAAATTTTCTTTTGTGACACCCTGTATAAAGAACGATACTTTTAGGAAATACGGATTGTCTCCTTGCGCTGACTATTCTTGATGCCTCCCGATCCTAAATGCGCTATATAAATATACGCGCTTGTTACTGAGAATATTCCACCACTACTAGTAAACAAAACCTCAGTTGTCATAAGGACTTCTGAATCATCGTGATGTCTTAGTCGTCGAGTAGACGTATCGGACTATAGTTTCCGAAGTAAGCCAGGAAAGCGCGGTGAAACGCAACGAAATACGCGAATACAACGCATCCGCCGAGGTGCAGAGGGGAGAGCGGAGCAACAAGTTGAAGCAACCTAATGGCTGCCGCCTCACGTGATTCCAAGATGGTGGCGCCCATGCAAGGGAGGATGAAAAGGTCTATAGAATTCAAAGTGTATGGTGATTTCTTTCTTCGCAAAGTCTGATATGTTTACTTGTCTAGTATTAGGCCCTTTTTGGCAAAATATTTATTTGGTGTTGACAGTGTCCAGTAGTTACGATATGGAATTTGTAGCTTCTGGCACCGCTTTCAGCTGGAAGATGCTCAAAATGTGCAAACACATTAAAAAAAAAAAAAAAGGTTAAAATAAGTTTTTTTTTTTTTGTATTTTTGGAAACGAGTTTATGGAGTGAGCTTTCCTGAAATGGAGATGGGCAGAATTAAATTAGTTCAAAACTGTCTGGTATTGTAGCCAAGGTTTTTGTTAGCTGCATGTTATAGGTATGTTAAGCTGCATCAATTCTTATGTACATAGGTTTATGATGTACATATATTTCAGCCAAATATGTGTCCATCATATATTTGACATGTATATATATGTGCATCATACTTGGTTGCATTTCTGACCGTATATTTTATCAAGTCCACCGAATGCAGTTTTGGAGTGGTGTTAGAAATGAATTTGGTGTATTCATTTTCAGACTGATGGTACAGACCTTGGCATTTGGACCTTGGCTTGTGCTGGCGGTGAAACTCCTCGGCGCTGTCAGCGTGGGTCTAGCGGCTCTTCATATTTACCTTAGTTTGACTCAAAGCCTGAACTCTTACTGAAGGCAGGCAGAGTCATTTATTCTCTCACGCCATTCACTTGGTTCGTGAGTAATGGCTTCTCATCTGAATCAATCGCCTGCGAAGCTGGACGGAAGAAAAGGAGGGAACAGAGCTTATTTCTATTGTTCTGCTTACTTCAGTGTTTTCGTCTAGAGTGGTGTAAAGAATGACAGCAGGCTATGTGACTTGTATAAACATTGCATTAAATGCCCAATGTTGCCCGACTTCTCTGTTTTTGTTTGCTTTCTTGTACAAGCATGATGGCGTTGTTACTGGAGCTAGGCAATGGATTGATTAATCGAATATTGATTTAATTGCGATTAAATGCTTTTAATCGGTAAAATTTTTACGAACCAAACGAGAAATTAAATGCTTTCATTAGGCAGAGCTGGACGAGTACACCTGTATGAAGGGTAAACCTTAGGTCAAATTTTGGAATAAAGTAAACTGTAGGGTTGAGATTTGTAACTCCAGACAAGGGGAAGGGGGGGGGGGGGGATGCAAAAGGCTACACATGTCCCGGCCACTTCAACGCTGTTCTAGTGCCCGTTTAGTGCAGCAGATACTATTGTGTACGATGAAAGGAGGTCGCTCTTGCCAGAGAATATCAACGAACCCCTTTGCCTCATGCAGCTGAAGTAAGAATCGCAGTGCGAGTGTCTGATCTATTGTTAGGTACAGTTTGATTCATAATCCAAGTTCTATGGTGTGCCGTTTTCACGTATTCAGGCTCCAGCAGAGGCACACAAGAAATATTAATTTTGACTTTTTATTAATAATGCATAGGAATAATCGATTAATTAATCGAATCAAGGCTGGGGATTAATCGGGTTATAAAGCATTTAATCGACGCTCAGCCCTAGTTTTTACCATGCCAGACATATTGCTTTGGTCTTAACCCTCGTATGATGAGCGTTTAACCTAGTGGCCTGTACAAACATTACATGTTCGCCATAGAACTTCTGCTGTTTTTGCATTTGGGAGCCTTTTTTTTTTTTTTGGCGTTAAACAAGTCATCAGCTGGAGTTTAGGTTACTTAGTTAACTACTTTTTGCATAGGAAAACTCTCGTTAAAGAAAAAGAAAATGTGTCAACACAACGAGTCATGGATAATAAAATTACGAACGAGAATTGCTCAATTTAAGCAATTTCGAAAACTTTTTTTTTTTTTTTTTCGGGTGAAGCGAAATAAAAGGAGGGCGTACAAATCGAGTTACGTTAGCTTAGAATGAAGCGATCGCCAGGACGTAGATGCCACCTGGGAACAAAGCGCCACTTAGATACTCGCTCGTTTAACGAACTGCTATCGCCACACCGCTGAGAACGAGTCCTTTTGGTTCTAATTTACGAAGGGACAGCGCCGTGTTTGTTTCGTAGCCGATGGCCCAGACGCTCTTCGTTCTAGAACGTATTTTACCCGGTTTATCGCGTTTTTATTTTTTATAATGGCGGAGTGTTGGATTTTTCTTTTTCTCTTCTTTGTTTTTCGACTAGCAGGCGGTCTTAATTGGTTTAGCGTTTGTGAAGGAAGAGCGGGCATTTTCGGAACGGCTCGGAGGGAGCGAGAGGTTGCGGGTACGACATGGTTGCAACAGCTCGACGGTGACGGCGGGTGTTTGCAGAGTGAGACGTTATTGTTTCGTTTCTTTTGGCCCGGTACCACGTGCTCCTGGCGTACGTGCGCGCGAAAATGAGCGGCGTCGCGAAGGGCCGCGCCAAACTGCGCGTCTTTTATGCGCACCCAGACTCGCAACTCGATACGTACGCTTAATTAATTCCCATGGGGGGGCGTGCTCCTGTCGCGTCGCTTTTTTCTCTGGCGTTCGTTTTGCCGCTGTGTTCTTTGTTTGCGCGCGCGCTTCCTGCGGGGAGAAGCAGACTGGCGAGAGGACGTGTTTCCTCGGCGCCAACACTGTCCTCGACGGGGTGGGAGCGTATGCCGCTTGCGCGGACGTGGTATAGTGGAAACTGGGAGGGAACGCGAGATGAACTTCCCTTATCCGAAAGGGAGCTTGCCAGTTCTTGGAGAGGTTCGAAATTTCGGCGTAACATCGGTTCTCCTTCCAAGCAGTATACCTATATATAGTGTCCCTTTGACGAGGGCCTCGTTCGAAGTTTGCCTGTCAGTAAGGAAGCAGGCCTGGGATATTAGCGCCGCAGGCATCCGATAAGTCTGAGATTAAAGACTGGGAGCCATTCTCTCCAATGAAGAGCTCTCGCGCACCCGCATCGCGTGCGCGCGCGCAGCTCGCACTAGGAACGCTTAAAATCGTCCGCACGACGGTCAGTGACGCACGATCCTCAAAGTCACAACAAAATGGAAAAAAAAACAAAAAAAACGCTCCGATGTTGTGTTTCTATTAAAGGGGTACTCCGCCGATTTTTGAGCTACCTCAACTAACTATATTTTCTGACTCCCAGGCCTTTACCCTTTCTGGTATGCTATTTAGTATCGTGAAATTCATAATAGTTATTGCGAAATCGGCAAATGAAAATGATGCAAAAACAGACATTCAAATATACCCGCCCTTTTCAGGGCCGTGACGTCAGTGGAAGTTCAGCTTGCAAGTCGGGCGAGCAGTCTAAAAAATAGAATATGCCAATCATTTGTTCCGTGCTGGAGCGCGGGGACTAGAGCGAGCTTCCAAGGCATTCATTTGACACGATGAAACTGCTTCGAATCAGTTGAGAACAAATTCTACAGTCCAAAGAGTGAACCCCTGCACTTCCAATGACGTCACTTTTTCATTGTTGCCAGTAGAGACTTTCAGTTTGAAAAACACGGTGAGGACCAAAATTGTAAATTCAATAACTTCGTGAAAAAAAATTATTTTGACCTAATATTTGGGATACTATTTTGGCGATGTTGTTTGGCGAGTTTAGCAAAATTTCAAGCAAATCGGGGACCATGAAGAAATCGGCGGAGTACCCCTTTAACGGCGACGCTCGGTATACTTCGGTGTCTGTGAACGTAGAGGTTGTAACCTCCTGTTGAGGAACGTCTGGGGAGTTTTGTAAGTTGATCTGGCTTCCTTCCACTCTTAGTCCGGCATTTCGGTTACCAGCTTACGGAGACTTCTGAGCTGTCATTTAATGTAAATTGGGCTGAAGGTTGTCAGGGGGACTTTATGCGCTGGTTTGCTTCGTCACTGCCCAAACCATATCGTAGAACCCTCGACAGAGCAGTCGCATCCTGACGGTTCTTGAGTTCGTCGATGGCGTCTTCATTTTCACCCCAGGTGAGTACTTAGCGAGTGAAGTTCTCGACTTCAATGGGGAGTGAGAAATTAATGTCCGCGTGCGCACGATTGATGGTGCAGTGTTTGAATTTACAGTTGGTGAAACAGTAATACTTTGCGTCGGTTTTACGGAAAAGCTGCTCGGAAAAAGCAACTGTGATGAGGTATTCAATAAATAAGGCACTAAAATTCGTACTTGGTGTCAGTCCACAGCAGTGGACTGAACTTCTTTTTTTGTTGTTGCTGCTAGTGTTAGGCTTAACCACTAATCATTCCAACCAGAGCTCGGCCTTCTGCACGTCCCCGCGCGCTCTCGTCTCCCCCTTTATACGTTTTTTCTTCTTAGTTTTGCATATACTTGTAAGGTATGTTACGGTGACTTGTTTTGTTGACAAACATTTCAGAAAGTTCGGAAAAAGGTGTTGCGATTCCCATGGCATCCGCGCTACATCCCCCCAAAACAAGAACAAAAGTGTTTTAATTAATTTGTGCAAAAATTATGAGGAATTGTTACGGGCAGGCCTTAGGTCTTCCAATGTTGATTTATAAGGAAAATCGGCGGTGAGGGTGTATTTTGTTGTTCTGCTCCGAGCGGATGCTAAAAAAGGCGATTAGCGGTCTTGTAGAACAAAATACTAGTCGAAGAGGGGAAGGTTTCGACAAAAACGGCTTTAGCTGAAGCAAAATTTCAAGTAATCGGCGTGTTTCGGCTTGGACCGATGTTGCATTTTTGAAATCAACGAATGTTTATGGTTTTTCGTTTGTTTTTTTAGGTTTTTGCCGACTTTGTGTTTCTGACACCGGCGGATGTTTATCCTTGTGTTTTCGGTTGAAACCGAAAAGTCTACGGCCTAATTATAGGGAAGTAAAACCGATAAAATAGTCTCTTCTCCCTTCCTGCTTTCATATTTATATTTATCTGCGCGCGTCACCCCGGTGTAAAAGGGTCTGCGAAGCTTTTGGTTTCTGCTCTCCAAAGCAAAAAGAAAACATGGGTTGGAGTTTCGCTTGGCGGCGTAATAAGATCAGATGGGATAGAAACGTGAGAACAAGGCCCGAAAATAATACTAATAAAAAACGTGTTTCAGTAGAACAAGAACAGGAAAGACAGACAGTGCGCTCGGAGGTAAACTCCTACATCCTCTTCAAGCAGCTGGACGTTTGGCTCTCCAGATTCAGTTTTGAAAGAACAGAAAGTAGCACACAAGCGCTTGGGAATATCGATTTGACCGCCGTGCGAATTGCGAACTGACATAGGCTTTGGAGGTACCCCGGTTGGGAAAAGCGGATAAGGGCGGACTTGGGGCAGGCCGGGGATTGAAATGTCACATGGCTCTATGTTCGAGCGCTTCAGGTAAACCCAAGTTGACTTTAACGAAAGTCGACAAGGTTTTCATGTTATTGCAAAGTCGGTTCCTTGGAGGGAGACTCAATATCCAGGTAACCGGTAGCATTTCCCGAGTGAATCTGCTTGACTTCGTCTCCTTGTACAGTTTCAACCTCGCAGGATGCTCAATCCTATAGGGACTCAGATACGCCCACTCGCACACGTGCACGCACGAACTCACGCACCGCGTCACGTTCTCGGAAAAAGAACCGAAAAAGGAAGGTGCAGTTCTGGCTGTTTAATATGGCGTGTCGAACAAGTTGACGTCTCGTTGCTTTCCAATCCATAGCCAATTTCAGTTCAAACGGAACGTCGTACCGCCGTGCGTTACTTGAGAGCGGCCCTGTCTTGACATTTCGAAGATCCAGCCTCTTGTGTGACATAAATACGTTTGTGTGTTTATTATGAACAACTTGAAATTTGATATTTGCAACGAACCGCCAACGTGGACATTTTACCTGCCTGTGTATCTGGACTATCAACGCGACGAATGTTTGGATTGTGATGTGAGCTTTCCCACATATTGACTATGCATGAGGAGAAGCTAGCTGGCCGTTTCTTGCCACTGAACAAGGTTTGCTTGTTTTTTGTTTTT